AAAATTGCAGATGGCTTTCCCAGTCTTTGACAGGGGAAAAGGCCGCGCATGTTATTCAACACTGCTTGGAGACCTGGGGTGCCTGGGGAAAGCCTCATATCCTAAAGTTGCTCAAGTACTTTATGTATGCTTGTTTTAAAATGTTCTATTTCCTGGTATAATCTAAGTTCTGTTACAAGCAAAGGGTGCAAGTTATGGCCATTTTGTAGCTGGTCACATGACTGACGGTAGCCATTTTGCTAAAGTTAAAAAAAGGATACTTAAACCGCCATCTTGACTAAAGATGACTGGATGGAAATTAGAGGTACCATCTTAGAAACAAGTTTTTCAGTTAAGATTTAAAATGTTAATGCTTCTATATATTGCAGAAAGACCTTAAGGAAATTTAAATTTCTTTTTAAAACCAGTTTTCAAATGTTTCTTTTTATTAATGTTTGTACTTAAAGAGCTTCAATTTAGAATTAATTTTAAACAATTTAGAAACAATTTTAATTCTTGGCTCGGGGTCTCTGCTTTTGTAAGCTTATGCTCTCTCTCTCAAGACACATAAAAGCTTTACTGCAGAAGGATCCGAGTGTCCTGTGTTGTTCTTGCTGGCGAGACAATCGCGCGGGACACCCCTCCCACCTCCACACACACTCACACTCAAGGCTGGGAATGCTTGGAAATGTTCTGTTGTCAGGAAATCTCTTCTAGCATTTTTCAATGATTAGTTAAACATATTTGTTAGAGGACATGTTTCTGATCTCTTCAATTTACATTGTCATTAGAGAATGATGGAGCATATATCAGTTGCTTTCATTAAAACACACAGACTTAGGAAAATACTTTTCTTGCATTAACCAGTAATACAAATGCACATATATTTATGTAAATATTGTCTACATATGTGTATACATGCATGCATATATGGATGCATTAGTAACCCTTCTCATTGCAGTGATAAAGGTCCTGATGAAAATCATAAGAGACAAAGATGAGTTCCCATGATTTAGGGAAAGCACGGCAGCCAGAAAGACTGGGGACTGTGGCCTCAGAAATTTGTTAAGCTGCTAGCTCACAAATGAATGGATTAAGAAGCAAAAGATGAGGAGTGTATAACATTAATCAAGCTTTATTCTCTTTTTTAAATTTTTTTTGCTAATAACCCATATCAAGAGATGCTCCTACTCACATTCTTGGTCTTAGTCTTCCTAGTTATTCTCTGGAAAATCCCTCATGGACTCCCCGAATATCTGCTTTACTACTGTCCTAGATGTTTCATAAGCCAAGCAGCCTGACAGCTAAATGACCCATACACATGTACTTACACACACACACACACACACACACACACACACACACACACACACGATTGTCTTCTCCGACTGTGAATTAGGGTGGGTATTTCTGCTGTTTACCTGACACTCAACAAGAGATTTAGCAGAGAGAATGATGCCTTAACAGTTAACATACTGAGGTAATTGTGCATTTAATTATACTATACATATTTTTTGGCATTTAGTACAATTTAAGATTTCCGCAAAAATACAAGCGTAATTATTTTTAAAATGATTAAAGATTTTTTGGAAGATTTAAAATGGCCAATCATTTTGCCTTCAAAATTCTCTTTTCTTTATTTAAGCAATTAAAAACTGATAAACTAGGTGGTCATCTCCTTTAAGTCAAGACAAATTTATTGACATCATGATGGTGACTCTTACCTAAGTTTTGATAAATAGTTAATCCTTTCCTAATTCAAGATAATGGTGCCATCATCCATCTACTCTCAGTGTAATGTTGATTATTGCCCAATAGAGAATTCTCCCCATATAGTAAACTGATAAGACTCTCTAAGAATTTCTTTGCTTTGTTGATAATGAATATTTGAATTGGGAAGTAAATTACTGATGAAAATAAGACAAAATAAAAAGCTTTAGACAGGCGTTGGTGGCACATGCCTTAAATCCCAGCACTCAGGAGGCAGAGGCAGGCAGATCTCTGTGAGTTCTAGGCCAGCCTGGTCTACAGAGCGAGTGCCAGGATAGGCTCCAAAGCTACACAGAGAAACCTTGTCTCGAAAAACCAAAAAAAAAAAAAAAAAAAGCTTTGTTTTCCTACATGGTAACTACCCCCATTCTTTGATTTCATTTAGGGCATTATAAACAACTATTGAGCTACTCTCTTTCAGAATCCTGAGGACTCTGTTACATTGACTGTATCGCATTGTATCTAGATATTACCTTGCAAGCTTTGCTTTATTATAATTTCTTGAGTGAGAAGACTGAACCAAGTATGTAGTAATATGCTGCTCATACCTGTGATGGAGATAGTATATCCCAATTTATTTGCTCTAAAGTCCTCTCTCTCTCTCTCTCTCTCTCTCTCTCTCTCTCTCTGATTTCTTACTTTCTTTCCATACATATATTTAGAGTGCAAAGTGATATTATGACGTACATACTGATATTGTTATATTTTAAGTGAATATTCTTACATGTAGTCAGAATATTCTTACATGTAGTCACTATGCCCCCCCCCCTCAGAGGGGGACATAGTGGCTCATACATGTAATCTCTGCTCTCAGGAGCTTGAGATGGTTGCTACAAACTCAAGCTCAGCTAGGGCTATATTTTGAACTCCTAGAAAGCCTGAAACTCAATAATTCTTTGCATTTTGCTTGCTATAGTATGTATCTCTTATACATACATAATACATACATGCATACATTTTTCACCTGTGACCTCTGTACCAGGTAATATCAAGTACCTGACACTGCCATTTTGCTCTTACATACTGTAGGAAAATTGAGCCATAATATACAATAGTTAAGATAATATTTACCATGTTTAATAATTTAAAATTAAAGATGTAATATACAGAAACCTGACCTAAATTATACTGAGACTCCATTAGTCAAATCTAAGCTTAAGAACCATCCTGGTAGCTGGGCCCAAAGAAGGTATGTATCTGTATCACTGAGATCTGAAATCCAAAAGACATCTTTGAAAGGTGCTGTGCCAGTTAACAATTACTCTCAAGTAGATGTTTTGCTTGCTTTCTTATTTTTACTTTTTAAAGGAGGTTAGGTCTATCCATAAGGTGAAAGACTATTTTATAAAAGATTAGTTTGAGTCATCAAAAAAGAGGATTTTCTCAAGAAATCATTGTTGTATAGCAACAGACCCTGACTCATAGAAAACACCAAAACAGTTCTCCACAAATTCTCAAATTTTATCTTTTGAAATTAAGCTTTCTTTTTGCTCATTTGAGATATAATCAAGTAATCTTATACCATTTTAGAGATGAAAAATATCAGACTCAATGGACATAATATACTGAAGTGAAAAAAATAGAAATTATCTTTAAGAGGCCAAAATGTGAAAAATAACATAATTGACTTTTCATCACTGTTACAAATATTGGAGAAAAATCAGCTTAATAGAGGGAGAGTCATTGGAGCCACAGTGAGACTCCACTTCATCATGGAAACCCCAGGAATAGTGGAAGGTAACAAGGAGTGCATGCAGGGGTCAGGGTGAAAGAGGATAGAGGGGAGAGAGAGAGAGAGAGAGAGAGAGAGAGAGAGAGAGAGAGAGAGAGAGAGAGAGAGAGAGAGATGAGTAATAGAGACAGAGAGAGACTAGAGACTTTAACCCCTCCAAGAGCACATAGACAATAAGCAGCTCCCTCCAACTATCTCTTCCTTGCCTGTCATAACACCCTACATCACAAATTAGCAACATGGGCTGGCAAGGAATTCGTCAACATACAAACCTTTCTGTTACATTTGTAAATCCAAGCCACAACAGATCCTCAGTAATGCTTGTACATAAAGGACAATATGATATTACAATCTTCTCCATTTTCCTTTCATGGGTTATAGCAGTAAAATTAGTATATAGTTGGATTTTATTGTTGCCTATTTGAGTATACAATTTAAACTATATGGCAACACTGGAGGGTGTTATGGACAAAATATTTCTGAACATAATGAAAATATCTCTAGGTAGCAATAACTAAAATTTATCTCTCAGGAGTTTCTGGTCAGTGGTCCTCCAAATAGAACATATAATAATACAGTTTCTCACATCAGAAAAAGAATAAAGTCAAATCACTAGTTTTAAAATTTATTGATATTTAAAAAGTATAAACTGATGTTTTTAGTCAGTGTAGACAGGTCATAATCAATCTAAATTTGCAGGTAAAACAGTTATCATTCAATGTAGTTTAAAGAATATATTTCCTCTCTTTTTACTATAATCACTGTGTCAAAAATAGATACAAGATTGATGATAACAGTAGTGTGATTTAATATAGATAGGCATTATTTAACATAAAAAATTAGAAAAAGAAGCTGAATATACTTTATGCTAAGATGTGTTTATATATTTCTCTTCGAACATGTTTTTAATTTTAATACTTAAATGTGACAAGCAGTAAGTTTACAATGTACTCCAATCACTGTCGATCAAGATAATAAAGTTTTAAAAATCATATACTCTGCATGTGGTAGCTTCCCCCAGTGGTAGCTTGCTAAGCATCTACAATAAACATGCAATATTTGACATGATTGGTGCAGGCTTCCAACAAAGACATACTAGCTTAACAAGAAACCAGTAAATTCTTTATAAAGGAAGATCTGGTGTTTGGATATTTCCTGCCGAGCTAAAATTTTCAGCTACTATAATTAGCAGCATAATTTTCCTCCTTGCCATGATAAGCAGAAGAAAGGAACATCCGCAGAGGAAATGCGCAGACATGAGCCAGAGGGGACTGTAACAATGGAGCACACAGCAAGGTGCTTGATCAATGGCCAGTTGTAAACATACTTTAGAAGAAAACATCAAACTTTGTGCAGTAGAAATTAGAAATTAAATTCATAGGATATTCATGAAATCAGAGACCATGTCAGAGTTTTGTGACCTTTTAAGATTAATAAAAAAGAGGGTATAATTGGGCACAATGGATTTAACACTAACAGTATGAAGAATGTAACTTTACCTGAGGTTTATAAAGATTCTAATATTTTCCTTATCGTGAGTTTGATACATGGGTCAGAGTATTTTATTCTATAGAGACAAACATCACAGAGTATTCCATTAGTACCATATAAATACTTGAAAATTTAAAAATTTATTGTGTTTTTGAAAATATGGACTTATGTAATTATGCAAAAGGGAAGCTAAATTGGCAATATGTGTTTTTAAAATGTGTCTTGAATAATTTCTTAAAATTATGAAAGTTTTTATGCAGTTTCATATTGTTAAG